CACCCATTTCGGCTACCCTGACTCTCCACTTCTGGTGACCACCAATCTGTTCTCTGTATCTGTGAGCTCAGTTTTTGTTTGTTTGTTTTTGTTTTTTATATTCCATATGTAAGCGAAATTGTATGGCATTTGTCTTTCTCCATCTGACTTATTTCCCTTAGCATAATTTCCTTGGGGCCATCGATGTTGTTGCAAATGGCAAGATTTCCTTTTTTATGGCTGAACAATAGTCTGTTTTATATATATATATATATATTCAATTTCTTTAAAAGGACTGTTCAGGTTATCAATTTCATCTTGGGGGAGTTTTGGCAACTCGTGGTTTTAGAGGAAATTCTCCATTTTATCTAAGTTGTCAAATTTCTGTGCATAGAATTGTTCTGAGTTTCTCCTTATTATCTTTTAGTTCCTGGGGGGGGTGGGTGGGTCTGTAGTGAAATCCCTGCTTTCCTTCCTGATGTTGGTAAGTCCTCTTTTCTCTCTTTTTGTCCATGTCATTCTTCCTGGGAGTTTATCAATGGTATTGACTTTTTCAATAGCAAGCTTTCAGTTTCATTGATTTTTCTCTGTTGTTTTTTTGTTTTTACTTCTAATGATTATTGCTCCTATTATTGTTTCATTCCTTCTGCTTGCTTTTGGTTTAGCTTGCTTTTGTTTTCTGGATTTTTATGGCAGAAGCTTGGATGACTGAGTTGAGATGATTCTGTTTTTTCCTAATCTCTAAATTTTATGTTATAGGCATCTGACACATTTTGATATGTTGTATTTTTATTTTTGTCCAATTCAAAGTATTTTATAATTCCCTTTGAGAATTCCTCTCTATGAATTTGCCTTTCCAGTCACTTATAGAACTTGCCATCTATTCCATACTTTTCGGTTCTTGGTTGTAATCAAGTGCATTAAATTGAAATATAAGTCACCTCACGAAGATTTTTCGTAGCTTCATTTGTTGTTATGAATAGTAATGTGATATTCATTTACATTGCTTTACTAAGAATAATAGTAGTTGCCATGTATTGAGTGCTTACTATGTCCTAAGCATTATGTTGATCGGTTTACATGGTCTCATTAAATTCTCTCAACAAACTTTTCATCGAGGCACTGTTACTAGCCCCATTTTACGATTAAGGAATCTGACACACGTATTTTAAGTCACTAGTCCAGAGTCACTCAGCCACAGTGTGGTAGATCTGGAATTTGAGTGTAGGTTTGTGCCAAACCCTGAATTCTTCACCATTGTACTACATTTCCTTTCATTATTTCATTTCTTGCCTTGTCAGTAAGATGTTATTTTCTTGAAGGCAGATACTATGTCTTATACTGATCACCTTTTCCCTACAGCACCTGGAACCATGTTAGACACATAGTAATGGATTGATTTATGTTTGTGGAACTCAATTTAATGGCATGAACTGACCCGGAAGAGAATTAAACCCGTGACATTTGCCATATTGCACCAGTTTCTTACCAACTAAGCTAATTTAGCTCGGTCTCCTACACAAAAACAAAAAAAGCTGACAAAATATTTGTGACAATAGTAATGGCCAAGGCTTTGAGCTGTCAAGGAGATTTATAAGTATGACTAACTGAACAGGAGTCCATCTCCAAGTTGTGCTGTTTAGTTCTGACCTTCAGTCTTACCCTTTTGCTCTCTATAGCACTCCTTTTCATACTTCGAATTTGTTTCACCGTTTGACTCTCTCACATGATTTCCTTTTTCCCCCTCCCCACCCTTTACATCTTGAAGCTTTAGGCGGACTCTTCACCATTTGTTTATGAAACCCAAATGTGAGTCTTACTCTATACCACGTGCTCTTCTAAGCACTTTATACATATTAACTCCTTATAACAGTCCTACAAATTGGGTACTGTTGTTCCCATTGTGCAGATGAGGGAACTCTCACAGGACTTTCTAGTGGCTCATTATCCATTTCCCATACACAGTAGAAATCTGAGTGGCAGGCTGGAGGTGGATATAAAGTGAAAACAAAAGCCTTTGGCTTTCCTATGGCCAGTCACTTATCTGTTGGGCTGTGCTCAGGGTCTATAGAGGGCAGTGCAGGTATATAACTGGGGGATAGCTTTGCCACAAAACACCCAGGGGGTTCTGTTGCCCTTAGGCATGACCCTCTCGCCCAGTGGGCAGCCTAGAATCTTTTCCTACCTGGCCTACAATCTAACTGACTCTCTCTCTCTCTCTCATACACACACACTCACGGAACATGTATAATGTTCGTGGTTCATGTTTTGGATTTAAAGCAGGGTACAGTGGCAAAAGCACGGTCTCAAAACTTGGCGAGACCTGAGTGTGACTTCTCCCTCTGACTCTTGCTATCTCTGTGATTTGTGGCAAGTCATGTAGTCACTCTGTTTTGATGTTCTCAACTGTGAAATTAAAGAAGATGATAAAGATTATAATAAAAACTGAGGGATAAATCACATGAGGCATTTGACTACTTAACCCAGTGATTGGCATGGAGAAATGCTCTATACATGTTTAAATGCTTTTGTAATTATTGATGTGTAAGACCTTTTTATATATCAGGGATAATCCACGCTTTGGCATATATGTAGCTTGTAGAACTGAATTTTGAGGACCCAGAACAGGCTTGTCTTTATCTGGGAATTTCTTCGTTGTTTTGAATCTTGACATTGGTTTTATCTTCTCTATTTCTGACCTTTCTTGGGCCCTTGGGATCAATTCCATCATCCTCATGATTTAACTTTTGGCGCCCAGATAGCTAACTGGCTTTGTATAAATGCCAGCATTCTTTTAAGGCCAGTGGCAAAGCCTGGCACCAGAGTCCAGCTTTACCTGGACTATTAATGTGATGTTTCCCTCTCCCAGGGTGAATGTTTAGGCTGTGGCTAAACAAGACCGTTTATGCCCAGAGCCTCCCTTAGACAGGCCCAGGGATAGAGTTAGGTCAGGCCTGTAATGGCCATTAATGACCCCTGCTCTAGGCACTTGAGGCTTGAGCAAGAGTCTTCAGCAATCAGTTCTCAGAGCACGGAGTGCCCCCTGGAATGACCCTGTTGTAAAAGCATGGTAAACTGGCCAGCCCTGGGAGGCTGGAGTGACGTCACATTGGTGCTGGAGGACCGTGATGGCTTGGCGTGGCCTCAGAGCATTCTCCCCTTGGTCACCCCCCTGAAAGCATATTATGCCTAGACCAGGGGATGGATAAGATGGTAGAAAGACCCCTGAAGCCCAAAGGGAGGAAACAGGAGGCTCTCTGACTCTCCACCTGAGGTCACATTTGTGAGGGAGGGTGGCGGGGTGTTGGGCTCTGGTATCAGGCAGCGAGAGGGATATAAGAGTTTGGGGTCTCAAGTTAGATAAACCTGGGCTTGAATCTTGGCTTTTCTATCTTATGTGTGACATGAACCAGGCCACTTTCCTTCTCTGAACTTGGTTTCCTCATCAACAAATGGGAAAAGTAATTGTACCTGTCTCAGAAGATTGCTGTAAAAATTAAGCGAGAGAACTTATGTAAAGCAGTTAATTAGATAACTTGCCCAGATTATGTTAAGTGCACATTATCATCATCCTTGTGGCATTGGTAGAAACGGGCAACAGTAATAAATAGACTGCGGGAAATGAGAACCATCCTTGGGGCTTCTGTGCTGTTCTCGTGGGTCTCCTTGTAATGTCTCTCACTCTTAGGCACACATCTGTGAGCTTTGAGAGAATACCTAGAGTTCTTGAGGGCCTTCAAAGGGCGCCTGGGTAGCTCAGTTGGTTAAGTGTCTGCCTTGGGTTCAGGTCATGATCCCAGGGTCCTGGGATTGAGTTCCACGTTGGGTTTCCGGTGGCGATTCTGCTTCTCCCTCTCCCTCTGCCTCTCCCCCCTGCTTGTGCGTGCACACTCTCTCTCCCTCTCTCTTTCTCTCAAATAAGTAAATAAAATCTTAAAAACAAAAACAAAAACAAAAAGTATGGGCTCCTTTCCCCTTCAGAGCATGGGAAAAATCCTGGTATCTCAGGGCTGCTGTGTGAGTGTGTGTGAGTGTGTGCGTGAGAGAGAGAGAGAGAGTTGACTCAGCAGTGGTTATACCTGACCCATCAAATCCGCTTTTCTTCAAGAGGAAGTCTGTGTGTCATTCTTTTCTTCTCCCTCAGTTGTAAAGGACCATTTGCCTCGAATGATGAAAGAAGCTGCTGAAGTCCACCCTCAGTGATCTCTCAGGCAGAGTTCATTCCTGACCTGGTTGTTCTTGACTTACAAAGGGTTTCTAGCATATGCTTCAACAAGTCTGGTATTAGGAAATGATTATTACCTGATGCTGGAGACCAGTGGTTTTCTTCTTCTCCTTCCTCCCCCCGCCCTTTTCCTTTTTTGTTTTGCCTTTAAGTCACAAAACCCAATCTGTAAAATCGATCAAAGCAAGCCTGGAAGGCTGCCACTTCTGCCATTCCCACCTCCTGCAGCAGCCCTGAAGACATTTCTAAGAAAGTCAGGGAACACAGTTGACAAAACACTGCAGTCAGCTGGCTGGTTTGACTCGCCTTTTCACGCCTAGGCCGCTGTTTGGGCGAAAGGATTAGACATGGCTGTGTAAATAAACAGCCATGTTACACGAAACAGGTACCCCAGTACTCTAATCACAGGGCACTCGCTTAGCCGAGCCCCTCTTTTCAACTGTCGCCTGAGCTGCGGCGGCTGACGCTGCTGATGGGGACCGACTGGACGTTTAGGGAGCACGGAGCTCATTATGTAATCAAGTGTCATAGCCAAAGTGTGTTCAGGGAGCATCTGGGGGATTTTTGAGGCAGCAGTCAGAACATTTCATGAGTGCGGAATAGGCCGCTTTAAATGGACTCTGCGCGCGCGCCAACTCCAGTGCCATTTTACACAGAGAGCCGCTTGTTTACATGGCCTCCCGTAGGGCAGGGCATGACTTGACACATTTTTGCCTGCCTGTGCAACAGAGTCTGAGTGTGACCTGGACTTTATCTTTTTTTTTTTTTTTTCTTTTTCTTTTTCTCCCCCCTCCAGGCTCCAGATGCACATGCTGAATGGAGCGCTTCTAGCTCTGCTGTTTCCTGTGGTAAATACCCGGCTGGTAAGTTGCCTCTTGTAAGAATGTGCTGCCAACGTACAAACCAGTTATTTGCTCACTCCTTCAGCATCCAGCGCTTGCCCTCATCCTGCGCTCACGTACCCATGTGAGCTTTAAAATACGTACATATTTCGTATTGCGGTTTGACATCGCCCTTCTCGGATGCAGGGGAGCCTGATAGGTAAGGGTAGGAGTGTCTGATGGAACTCTGGGGCTGCATTAAGAGTTCAGGCCAGAACCGGGAGAGACCAAAAAAACCTAAAGGAGCTTCTGAGAGGTTTGGTGGAGAGAAGGGGGAGGCAGGGAGCCCCATTTATTAGAGGTTTCCGGGTGTTCTAAGGGGCTCTAGTTTGGACTCAGCCGCATCGGCCCAGAATAATCTGATGGGGAGCCTCAAAGCCTGTCTGCTTTGCCAAGGGCCCCATTGAGCAAGAATTAGTTTCTTTCCCCCATTTACCCAAACCCATAGGGCAGTCTGGGCCACCCCATACCCAGTGGCTAGCCAGTAGAATCCCACTGTAGCAGGGGGCTGGGTGGTAAACGAGCATAGAGAGAAGAAGGGGCTATAGGGCTGAGGTGGCAGGGCCCTGTCCTCAGACTCCCTCACGTGGCACTGGGGAGGGATTAGCCAGCCATGTTAGAAAGCACAGGAAAAGAAATCACCTGTAAAATCCCTCCTACTGCTTTCTGTTTTCATGACTTAAATTTGCCTCATGCATTAAAGATCATAGTTTAAATCTCAAAATGATACTCCTTCCTCTTTGGATAGCATTTAAAGTTTACAAGGTCTTCTCACATGACAGCTGTGTGACGTAGATAAGGGCAAGCATCATGGCCTCTTGTTACAGAGGAAGACACTGACGTTCAGGGAGTTACGCGAGTTCCAAGTGGCAGAGTTAGGAGTAGAGAAGCCTCTAGATCCTATAAGTGCAGCAATACTTCACTCTCTCCAAAGATTTAGCCAAAACCTCCCCACAAATACTCATGTATACCCCTATGATCATTATATGTTTCTAGGTGCCTATTGTACATCGATAGAAATTAAAAGAAAATGCATTCATCTAAAGCTGTGATTTTGAACCCAGACTTAAAATTTTGCTCCAGGCTCACCTAGAGGTACTTAAAAAAGCAAAACAAAACAGAAAACGATGAACAACAACAATGGAAAACAAACCAACCAAAATGACTGATGCCCTGGCCCCTCCCTTGGCGTATCTGAACTCTTGATCTGTGACACAGCCTGGGTGGGCATAATGTTTTTAAAAAGTGTTTCTAATGTGGAGCTGCAGTTGAGGACCACCAATTTTGTGCAGTGGCTCTGAAACTTAATGTTTGTCCATAGCAGTTCACCCGAGGAAATGGCTAAGAAATGAGGCTTGCTGGACCTCATCCCCAGAAGGTCTGATCAAGAGGATCTGGGATGATACCAGGAAATGAGCATTGGTAATAAGTCCCCAAGTAATGTCCACTGCTGGGGTCCTCAGACCCCTCTTGGAGAATCAGCATCCTAGGTGATCGTAATTCCAAGTTACTCCAAGTGTGGGACTCCAGGTGAGGTCTGAGGACCAGCATCACGCGGGTGCTGCCTGTTAGAAAGGCAGAATTTGAGGCCCCACCTCCGACCTGCTGCAATGGAATCTGCATTTTAACAGGTGGCTTAGAGGGCCTCCCCTCTTCCTTCCAAAGAGCCCAAAGCATCTTGTAGATAGACCGTCGGACCTCCTGGGAGGTGGGGGGAATGCCAGGGTGGGAGAGGGCAGGCAGTATTGTCTCGGTCACGAGAGGCCAGGCACACTCGGTTCAGTGTTCCCCTGTGAGCTGGGATCAGCAGGCCCAGGCTGCTAACTTAGCTACCTTTGCTCCCCCTTATGTATTCCCCACAATATGACTTGCCTGACTTCACCCTAGTCCTTCAGCAGAACTCCTGCTGTGGTCTCAGAGCTGTAGGGGAGAGTCCCCCAAGAATGGGGCAAAGCAAACACACCGAAAACAGATTCTTCCCTGGCTCAGGGATGTGGAGCCGCACTGGAGGTGCAGTCTGCTCCCTGCCTGTGGAGGTCCCGGGCTGAGGCAGAGACCGGATCCCGCGCTGTCTCATCCCATCTGTCCGTCTGCCCTGTCACTGCTTTCTCAGATGAAGAGGTCGGGCAGATAAAAAGCTGCTCTCCTTCTTCATTTTCAGGAGCTCTATCGGATTCCAGGAAGGGACGGTGCACCAGAAAACTCCCCTCCCCTTCCCCACCCCCCACCCCCGGGGTTGTGGGGTGGCTCGTACAGTCAGTGACCCTGAGTCTGAGAGCTTCCAGCCCATGGCTCTGGCCCATCTCTGCCATCAGTTGAGGCAGATGTGGTTCCTCCAAACAGGTCACCTGCATCTCTCTTCCTAGTGCGACCTTCTCCCCAAGGAAAGCCAAATAGTCTTCTCCTTGCAGAACCCCTGAGCATCAGCAGATGTGATGATTCCCATTGTACGAGCTTGAAAATAAAGCCCCCCCCCCCCCGCCCACCAGAGCCCATTCATACGTCTGAAGTCAGAGCCCTGGTGGTGGTGAAGTTTTCCTTCAGCCACAGCGGCAGCAGCATCTCTGCACTAGGCTTGCTGACACTTCCAGAGTATTTACTGTGCGCCCGGTACTGTTCTAAGTGCTCTATGTGGGCTAATGTATTTGGTCCTCACCATAAACTTCTGAGGCAAGGCACTGATAATTATCCCCAAGATCAAGGTGCCGGCAGGGTTGGTTCTCCCTGAAGCTTCTCTCCCTGGCTTGCAGATGGCCGCCATTTTGATGCCTTTTCACATGGTCTTTTCTCTCTGCATGCGCATCCCTAGTGCCTCTCTTGTTTGTCCAGATTTCCTCTTGTAAGGACACTGGTCAGATTGGATTAGGGCTCACCTGATGGCCTCCTTTTAACTTAGTTCTTTAAAGGAGGTATTTCCAAATATAGTCACATTCTGAGATCAGGCCTTCAACATACGAATTTTGGTGGGGGCATAATTCAGCGCCAAACAGCTTTCTACTCTGTACAAAAAACAATGTTTCTCTCTCCCCTCCCCTCTTTCCCTCCTTCCCTCCCTCCCTGCTTTCCTTCTCTTTCTTCCTCTCCCCTTCTTCCCCTTTCTCACGGCAGATTTGCTATTATAGTTGCTATAACACCTAATACTTTCTGAATACATATCAAGCTGTAGCCAGCCAGCTCATCAGGAATGTTCAAGAAACTTTCCTTAACACTGAAACTTCCTTGATGAGCTTAATGAGTGATTCCAATCAGTCTGGTAAATAATCTTGGTGCCCTTTTTTCTAAAATGAAGCTGAGAAAAGCTCAGGGTGATGGCTGCATTTGCATGTGTCTTGTCAACTGGCTTTGGCTTGGTTATTTTAAATGGCTGGGACCCCTCCTGGGCTACCTCTGGCCATTAGGACTTTTTGCTTTGCAACCCCTTAGTTGAGCTCAGACTGACTTCAAACAAGACACAGGAAGACAGGCAACTCCATCTTAAGCCTGATGATCCAGTTAGGTCGGAACTTAGCTTTTGACTTCTCTGTGCTCTTCCTTCTCGACCCTTTATGTTTTTAATCTTCTTTTGTTGTTTTTCTGAGTAGTAATATGGAAGCAAGGAAAAGAAAATGAGCTGGTGTGTATGTCAGTAACACAGTCACACATACACTCACATATACAAGGACAGAGAAGGAGGGAGTTTTAGGAAATTGCCACTGTCAGCTAAAGGATTTGGGGTCATCAGTGCATTTCCATTTGCTGTGCTCTGTCCTGTGACTTACTGGCCCTGGGATTTGCAGACCAGCTAGGGAATGCCCGGGTCCCAGTTTCTCCTGGCTCTCCATCCTAGCAGCTGATACCTTGGAGGAAGGAACATGTATACCAGTGGCTCATATTACAAGGAAATGGTTTTTGCTGCCAGGATTCTGGAGAAGGTCTGTTTCTGGCTTCAGATGAAGTGTCTTAAGGGCGATTTTTCTTTTGCTCCTTGGAGGGAAGGAGAGGAAATGCATCATGGAACTATTGATTATTAGATTAGCAGGGAGCTAAAAGCTTGTCTGATCTCATCTCATCTTCTAGATGGGGTCCTTAGAAGCCAAGGTGGGTGCCCCTAAAATCCAGCTCTCCTGACTCAGACTTCAGAGCTCTTTTCCTGTTCTATGACTGGAGTTCAGGGCGAGTTTGAAAGCTGGTGAATCCAGATGCTGGAGATGCTTCTTAGCTTCTGTGCATCTAAAAGAGTTGGGTCATAGGTTTCTTTGAGAAGCTGAAGAAGACTGTAGAGCCTCTTCCCAGATAAATGCACAAACACAATTTTGCAGATAATTTCAGGAGACTGTCACCTGCTGTCTCCGCCCCCCGCCCCGCCGCTGACCCCTAGCCCATCCGTGGAGCCCATGTTAAGATCCCCCACCCAAGCTGACAGTAGCCCCTGGCTTGAAGAATCGATATGCTGCATAGTTTATGAGCTCCTTGTTATAGCCATTGGCTTTGGGGCTAGTGGTGAGGCTGGGTTCCTTATCCATTGCCTGTGACTTAGCAAAGTATATCTCTTCCAGGCCAAAACACCTTCTGGAAAGTAAAAGCCAAGAGGTGGGAGCTAAGTAGGTTGCCCATGGAACCTGGGTTACATATTAGATTTTCAGTTCCATCTCTTACCTTGCCAGGTTGATCTGGTCCCAGAGTGAGGCCCTGGGCATAAGCTGCATCCCCAGCCCTGTACCTTTTCTTCTCAAATGCCCATGAGAGTTCCTTCTGAATGCGGAGTGTTCTGAGCAAGGGAGAGTGGAGACAGAAAACAAACTTAAAACACCCTATCAGCCCCCTTCCCAGACTGAAGACTCTAGCCCGGCCTATATTTGCGGTTGCAGCCATCTGTCTTCTACGAGAATAATAAGAAGAAGAATGGTAATGATTCTTTTCATCAAGCTCCTTTCTTCTTCAAGGCCCAAAGCCTTGTGTTTATTATTATCTCATTATCAAAATTGCCCATTATTGTGCAACCC